TGAAGCCCGGGAAATTCAAATCCCGGGCTTCATTAGCAAGTGCGGTATGCATACATTACCCTCCTAGTTCGAACTAGAAGGGTAGTGTAGACATACCCTTCCAGTCAAGTGCCCATCCCGTGCCCATCACCCTGGTCCCTGGGCGCCTGCCCACCATGCATCAAGTCGCACGACTGCGATTGTCCCAGGTGACACCTTCCTTAGGCCTCTCCCCAGGGGAAAATGTTCTTCCCCGTGGCTATTGAAGGGAAGCAGGGTGCAGTGGTTAGAGTAGGACTGGCCTGGAGCCAGGACTTAGGGGTCCCGTTCCCAGCTCTGGGAGAGGAGTGGGCTCCAGTGAATCGGGCGGGGGGCTGCTGGGATTCTCAGGTTCTATTCCTACATGTAGCCCTTAGTGCCCAGAGGTGGCTGCATTTCCGTGGCGGGAGCATTGCATGTGGGGGAAGGGCGGGCTTCTTAGCAGATCGCTTTGCAAGCTCCCCGTGTCCCATGGCCCTTGCTTGCAGGGCTCCAAGAAACTCTGTCCGCAGTGTAACGCCATCACGTCCCCCGCCGACCTGCGGCGCGTGTACCTCTGAGCGCAGGCCGGCTTCCCGGCTCCGGCGGCATCCTCCAGCACAACGGGCCCCGCATCCCGCCCCCGGCGCAGACTGCACCCGAACTGGGAGCCTGCCCAGCTGCTAACCAGAGGCCCTGCTGGCGGGCTCCGTGCTTGGCCGTGGCAGCCCTTGGCGAGGGCTGGGCGCAGGGGCTGTCTCGTGGCCCGTGTCCCCTTCTGCCCCCGCTTGTCTTGTCTGTGTTTTGGTCATTAAGTAAAACCTATTTTTAGTAACGATTGTTACCTGGCCTGGGTTCTTCGCGCCTCCCCCCTCGGAATAGAACAGGTGAAGGCTGGGGGGTATGCGGCAAGGAGACCCAGTTCTGGAGGGAGTGGGGTCTAGTGGGGGAGGGTGGGGGCCAGGACTCCTGGGTTCCCTTCCTGTTTGGGGGCAGAGGTAGGGCTGGGGGGGCCAGGACTCCTGGGTTCCCTTCCTGTTTGGGGAGGCAGAGGTAGGGATGGGGGGCCAGGACTCCTGGGTTCCCTTCCTGTTTGGGGAGCAGAGGTAGGGCTGGGGGGGCCAGGACTCCTGGGTTCCCTTCCTGTTTGGGGGCAGAGGTAGGGCTGGGGGGGCCAGGACTCCTGGGTTCCCTTCCTGTTTGGGGGCAGAGGTAGGGCTGGGGGGGCCAGGACTCCTGGGTTCCCTTCCTGTTTGGGGGCAGAGGTAGGGCTGGGGGGGCCAGGACTCCTGGGTTCCCTTCCTGTTTGGGGGCAGAGGTAGGGCTGGGGGGGCCAGGACTCCTGGGTTCCCTTCCTGTTTGGGGGCAGAGGTAGGGCTGGGGGGGCCAGGACTCCTGGGTTCCCTTCCTGTTTGGGGGCAGAGGTAGGGCTGGGGGGGCCAGGACTCCTGGGTTCCCTTCCTGTTTGGGGGCAGAGGTAGGGCTGGGGGGGCCAGGACTCCTGGGTTCCCTTCCTGTTTGGGGGCAGAGGTAGGGCTGGGGGGGCCAGGACTCCTGGGTTCCCTTCCTGTTTGGGGGCAGAGGTAGGGCTGGGGGGGCCAGGACTCCTGGGTTCCCTTCCTGTTTGGGGGCAGAGGTAGGGCTGGGGGGGCCAGGACTCCTGGGTTCCCTTCCTGTTTGGGGGCAGAGGTAGGGCTGGGGGGGCCAGGACTCCTGGGTTCCCTTCCTGTTTGGGGGCAGAGGTAGGGCTGGGGGGGCCAGGACTCCTGGGTTCCCTTCCTGTTTGGGGGCAGAGGTAGGGCTGGGGGGGCCAGGACTCCTGGGTTCCCTTCCTGTTTGGGGGCAGAGGTAGGGCTGGGGGGGCCAGGACTCCTGGGTTCCCTTCCTGTTTGGGGGCAGAGGTAGGGCTGGGGGGGCCAGGACTCCTGGGTTCCCTTCCTGTTTGGGGAGGCAGAGGTAGGGATGGGGGG